GTACATCAGTGTTCACCAATGTTCACTACAGCACTATTCACAATAGCCAAAGATGAAACAACTTAATGCCCATCAATAGATAATCAGATAAAACAAAATGTGGCACATAAATAAATACTACTCAGTCAACAGGAGAAAGGAAGTTTTGACATTTGCTAATGGAGTCCTGGTGTGGCACTGTAGGATAAGCACTAGTCTTCTACCCACAAGGTCAGTGGTTCAAATCTACCAGCTGCTCCTCTGAACCTATATACAGGGTCACTATGAGTCAGAACTGACTAGAGACACTTCAACAACAACAACAGTATGCAGAGAACTTGAAGGCATTACGCTGAGTGAAATTAGTCCATTACAAAAAAATAAGTATTGTATGACTTCATTTATATAAATAGACGAGAAAAAGCACATATAGGAAATTAACGTTTATTAGTGGTTACAAGGGAGAAAAGGGAGGGGGGAAAGGGGATTATTAGTGATAGAAAAATTACATTGATTAAAGAAAGGGATGTACAGACGACTGTTGTAATAAAACTGCTGTAAATAACTGTACATCTGTAAGAAGCTGAATTAGCAAAAGTTGTGACAGATATAGTTATAACAACAAGTAGCTGATGAGACTACTGATGTACAAACAAACAAGTCCTGGGATTTGGCCCCTTGATTAAGAGGACTTAAGATCAAGGTTTCAAGGGACAGTCCAGTTAACTGGCCTAATGACATGTTTGCTGCTCCAGTTCTACCTCCCAGTTCAATGCATGGTACCTAGGGTCGTGAAAGCATCCTAACATTCAAGGCACAACAAATGGTCTGTATTTACTCAAAACAATGGGAGGAGGAGGAAAGTAGCTGTAGGAAAAGATATGAAATGTGTAAATAATTGCTTCCATGAAGAGCTAACTGCTTCCTTTGCTATAAGGCCAGAACCGGATGATGACAGTCTACCATTGCTGAATGCTTTGGTAAAAGAGTCCACAGAAGAGTCCTAGTCAAAAGGTCAAAAAGGCAGAAGAGAATTTCAAATTCTCAAGGACTCTGGACTTTCTGGAGTCATAAAGTATGGGTAAACTCCTGAAGCTATTGCTGTAACATAATCTTCAAACCTTATATTAAAAATATTCCCTTAAGTCATCTTAAAACCAAGTAACGGTTTAGCTTATTTAATTTAAAAAAAAAAAAAAAAAAAGGCCTGTCTTAAGTATTATGCTCTGTTTTGTTTTTTTTTTATTGTGAATTGAGTGATAGTTTACATGGGAAAACACTGGTTTTACACTCATCATTTCATTGCAATTATTACAATCTCCTCCATGTATCATCATTCAACAGTATTTGCTTCTATTCCCTCGGCTTTTTGGTGTGTTTTTTTTTTTTTTTTTTTTGGGGGGGGGGATATACACAAAAACACTCAGGAATATATAATCATTTAAACAACCAAAGAGCGCATTCTGCAAGCCTGAGTACTCAGTCCCTCTCTTTCCATGAATCTAGAATCCTCAGCTGCTCCCTCCCTCCATGTCCTCATCTCTGCCTCCATCTCTGGTGTCGCTGCTTCTCTGGAGAGTCCTGTATTTTGCTCGTGCACTTTTCCCTTGATGGTCCTAGGGTCCTCTATTTCTGGACTATAAGATTAACTACAACCCCCTTTTTGTTACAAAACTTCTACTTTTACAATTGTGACAATCGTCATTAGTCATGATAACAATTATTCATTATTGAATCATAAGAATATTATCCCCATCTCCTTTTACCAGACCTGTCTAGACAAGATGAAAACTATTCGGTGAGGATTCTACCTTCCCCTGCACATTCTGAAATGAAACTTCCTCCTGAAAACTTGTAAGCTGGTCACTTCATACCTTTATAGACCACCCCCACCCCCATTTTAGACAGCCAATGTCTAAGTAAGCAGTACGCTCTCTTAGGGACTATGTATATGTCCTTAAAAGAGCATAATGACAACATCAAAATTGACAACAGCAACGCAAGAGATAAACTAGGAACCTTAGGAACAGTGAGTTCATGTTAATGAGGAACATTCAAAAACCAGTGGTGACGTTGGGGAGAAACGGGGTAAAGGCAGCAATGAAGCAGCAAGCTAAGTCTCACAATATTCAGAGGGCTTCTGTGGACCCGGTTGGGGACCCGGTTGGCAAACAGTGTGAGGAGACCCGAGGACTCACGGGCCCAGAGTCAGTGACGTGGCCACGAAGGACTCAAGTGGAGAATGGTGCATGTGCACAAGAACACCCACACTTGCAGATGACACCCACATGATCGGGACTGGATGACTGGATGATCAGAGCTCAACCAGGAGAAGAAAGAAGGGGGGGGGAGAAGATTGAGCTGATCCAAGCTGATGAACTTAACCTATGCACACGAATGCAGTGACACAAAAGAGGCAACAAATCCTTACAGCAAGAAACATTCCCACCCCCTCCACACACAGAGTAGACAGAGAGGGGCAACTTGGACATTGGATACCCAAATGGGGAGGGAGGGACTACAAAGGCAAGAAGTAACTGGCTTACAAGCTTTCAAGAGGGAACCCAGAGCTAGGGGGCATGGAGGAAGGCAGAATCACCAGTGAGTACTATCCAATTTGTCTAGGTGGAGCTGATGAAATGAAATACAGATGGGTTACGTGCAATACTGTAGTGAATAATGGTTATCAAGACGGATTGTGAGTGTTGGGAAATGCAAGGGTAGATGTTTTGTAGCAAGGAAGAGAGCGATTATTTCTCCAGTCTAGGAGCGGAGGTCTCTGGGACCACCAACGGAGAAGAGCCGAGAACGGGACCCCACCCAGAGAACCGGGGATGCCTGAGATGGAGACAGAGATGATGACAAGGAGAGATGAAGCGGCTGGGGACTTTGGATCCAGAGAGGGAGCGGAACTGTGGGCCGAAGACTGAGGGGGTAGAGGGGAGTGTAGAGCACGGGCTTCTAGGATATGCCCTTTGGTCGGAAGACGATGCATGGAGGGGATTGGAACCATGGCAATGTAATGATATACGATGGAATGAATATAGAACTGAGGTTCTCTCATGAAAACTATCATATAACTCACAATAAAACATTAAAAAAAAATAATAATAATGGTTGCATAACTTAAAGAACGTAATCACTGTCACGAGCTTCAAACATAAAAACTTGTCTGGGTATAGTTTTGCTATAAGTATTTTCAAAACAATGAAATACATAAAATTTAAAGAAAAAAAAGAGACACTTGTCCTATATACTGATCATATGCTTCCCTTGAGATTTTGTGGCCTATAATATCAGTTTCTCAAATTATAAACTTCAAAGGTATAAACGAGAAACCACAATCCTAGAAGCATTACAAAACTCTGAATGCCAAAAAAGGCCAATAACAGTGTACAAAATACACCACTGTCCACCAGTCACTATGTAACATATAGTACATTACCAGAGATATAAGTAGTATACAGAAAAAGAAACACAAATGGGTTTTAAATGTGTAAATGATGACTGACCTCACCAATAAGAGAAACATAAGACTCAATGAAATACCATTTGTTATCTATGCAAATATCAGAGTTAGATGACTGTTGTGTGGCGCGTCAGACTGCCATTACAAAACAAATACAACCCAAAGATGACTGCTCTTAAGAGCATGAGCTGAACGTGGGACCCAAACCAGAGAAGCAGCGACACCAGAGATAGAGGCAGAGGTGAGGGAATGGAGCGATAGAGCTGCTGAGGACTCTAGACTCATGGAAAGAGAAAGGCTGTGTGCTGGGGGCCAGGAGGCAGGCAGGCTTGCAGAATGTGCCCTTTGATTGCTTAAACAAATCATATATCCCTACGTGGTTTCTTTTGTACATCAAGAAAAAAGGAGTTAAAAAAAAAAAAAAGAGGGGGATGGTTTCGTGATAAAAGAAATAATCTATGATGGTTTTGGGGGGAGGAGGAAATGATACATGCACTAGAGGGTAGACAAGTGTTGACATGGATGACAGGGAAGGCAATATACAACTTGAGGGAGGCTGGCAGAGGAAAGATGGGGGTGGCGGGAGACACAGGGAGGGATGCAGTGGATAAAGGGAATAGAGCTAAATGCTGTTAACTGTTGGTGCATGGAGAGGACTGCAACCATGTAATGAAGCAAAGTATATGATATGATGAATATAAAACTGGTAATCTGCTCTGTAAACCTTCACTCAATTCACTACAAAAAGTTTTGAACAAAGATGACTGTTCCTCTAGCCCAGACTTGAAATGAGAAGACACATGGAACACCCCTGAATCAGACCCACTGCCTGGAATTAAACCTAGTCAATCACAACCAATCTGGAGACCCAGGAGCAATCAATAAATGGTTGCTGTTGTTGTTAAGTGTCATTGAGTCAGTTCCAGAACCATCCTGTATAGGGTTTCCGAGGAACAGCTAGTACGTTGAATCACCAGCCTTGAGGTTAGAAGTCCAGTGCTTATCCTAGAGTACCACACCAGAACTCCTATTCTGTTGTTGATGTTAAGTACCAATGACTCAGTTCCAACTCAAAGCAACCCTGGATAGGGTTTCCAAGGCTGTAAATCTTAGCAGAACATAAAGCTTCAAGCTGGTGGGCTTAAACTGCCGACCTTGTGGTTTGCAGTCCAGTACTTATAGTATGAAGCTAAGATGCTTCCCCTGTCTGTTATTAGAACCACTAAAATTTTGAGATGGTTAAGAACTGTATTATTGCAGCAAAAACTAACTAATACAGAAAATGTGGGGAAACGAAAATTCAAACAACAACTGTTATTAAGTGTGTCAAGTCGGTTCCAACTCACAGCAATGTTGTATTGGGTTTCTGAGGAGCAACTGGCTGGTGAGCTTGAACCACTGATCTTGCATTCAAACCAACCTTGCTGTCCAGCCCATTAGCGCGCAGCACCACAAACACTAGTTAGTGGGATACAAACCACCACGAACTCTGTAGTAGGAACTGTGGTCTAACCAACAGCCTGCCTTTCACTTTATCACTGTAATCGCTTACCTTACAAGCTTCATAATCCTTCCGGATGTAGTGCAGATGGATCAGCCAGTTATGCTTCTCCAAAACAGGGAACTCTGGAGCTGGGAAACATGTTTTGACAAAACAAGCAAATCAGTCATTGTCAGTTTCTTCAGTACCCTTCACTCAATTCACTATAAAAAGTTTGGAACAGAGATGACTGTTCTCAAGCCCAGACTTGAAATGAGAAGACACATGCAACACCCCTAAATCAGACCGACTGCCTAAACTAACAATAAGCATATTACAGTATCATCACATTAAAATTCTTCATCCTGTTAACCGTAATATTATAAAGCATCAAAAACGTATAGACAAAAAAAAAAAAAAGTATAGACTATTAAACACTAAGATCGTTTACTACTGTTACACAATGAGGACATGCTTGAGTTTTTGTGCCTTATAATTTCAGCTGAACTGGAAAAAGATTTTTTAAAACAATGTCCTTCTTTGTCGCTTCTTCTTCCTCCATCACACTCTCTCTCTGGTTGTAGAAAGTAAAAAGGCACACGAGACGTTCTAAAGGAGAGGTCAGGAATGTTACTAACAAAATACATATGACAGAGTTGATATCACATCTAGATAGATCAGAGTTCCAAAAAAATAAGTCAAATGGTTAAATATAAACTCCAAAAATAGCTTAAATCAGAAACATTAGTCTGTTGCCCAGCAATAAGTCAACACTGGGAAAAAAATCTACTTGAGTCATTAAAAATCACTCATTTTTTTTAAAGATTACTCATGATAGCAACCATAAAATGATGTTACTTGCCCAATGAAATTCAAAAGTTTAAAATAGAGGTAAAAATTCCTTACTGAAATTATTGTTCTATGGTAACAAGAAGGAAAAGAAACCACATCAGCTTCAGAACAGTAGTGAACAGAAGGAAGGAAGATGAAAGAAGGGGACTTGGAATGGGGTGGGGGTGGCCACTTTTTTTTTTTTTTTAAGTTTTTACTGAGAATTGAGTAAAGATTAAAGAGAACATTATCAGTTTTATGTTCAACAAACCATACACCTTATTTCAACTCAATGATGGAAACCCCTCCATGCAACAGCGGTTATCCCACTTCCTGCCTGTCGTTCCTACTTGCACCCCATTCCCCTTCCCATTCCTTCTCAATGTTGTCTTTAAATGCTACCTTTTTGATCTTGAATGGCTGACAATTCCAGAGCGAGCACACCTTACTAATGTTTTTGCTTCCCCTATATAGCGTAGTGGTTACGAATCGGGCTGCGAACCTAAGGTCAGCGGTTCGAAGCTACCAGCTGCTCTGCGGGAGAAAGATGAGGGTTTCTACTCCCGTAAGGATTTACACCCTCGGAAACCCTGTACAGGGTCGCTACGGGTCGGAACCAACTCGACGGCACTTAACAACAACAACAACATGTCCTAGTATAGAATCCTGGTGTGGCACTATGGGTTAATGCACTGGACTGCAAAGCCAGTTTGAACCGCAAGGTCAGTGGTTCAAGCTCACCAGCCACTCCTCGGAAACCCTATATAGGGTCACTATGGGTCAGAACCTACACAACAGCACTCAGTAATAACATGTCGTAGTATGGAGCTGTAGAATAAGCACTCAACTACAATGTCGGTTTGAACCACAAGGTAGGTGGTTCAAATCCACCAGCTGCTCCTTGGAAATCCTATACAGAGTTCTTATGAGTCAGAATTGACTCAAGGGCACTTAAGAACAACAACATATACCTACCTGGGCTCCCGGTGTGGTACTATAGGATCAGCGCTAGACTTCGAACCACAAAGTCGACTGTTCAAACCCACCAGTTGCTCCTCAGACACCCTATAAAGGGTTGCTATGAGTCGTAATCAACTCTACAGCACTTAACAACATATTAACTATCTACTGCATTAGCTGAGAATTGGGCCACGAGGGTTGAGTTCCATTCCAGACCGGAGGGCTGAGGGCCAAAGTCTCGGGTTCCTCCAGTCTCTTTATGACCAGTAAGCCCAGTCTTATTTTTGTCCTTGTAATTTTGAGTTTTATTCTGTATTTTCTCCCACTCTATCCAGGACCGTCTAATGTGATCCCTTTCAGAGCAATTGGTAGCGGCAGACAGGCAGTTCTGGTCTCAGGGTCATGATGGTTAATGTTTATACGTTCTACTGGTCCACTGGACTAGGTGATTGCAAGCATTTTCAATTTTCATTACTCTTCTTTCTTCTGAACATGGAGAGACCAATAGTTGAACCTTAAATGGCTGCTTATGAGCTTTAAGACCCCAGTTTCTACTCACCGAACAAGGATGCAGAACACTGTCTTTGTGGACTCTTATGCCAACTGACCATGCTGTCCCAACACCATGGTCCTGAGGCCCCAGGCCCAGCAACTCATTGCCTTAAGATGTGTGGTAATATCTAACAAACGATCTCATTTTGTTCCATGTATGCTTCGCTATGGAGTCCTGGTGTGGCGATGTGGGTTAATGCGCCAGACTGCAAAGCCATGTGAACTGCAAGGTCGGTAGTTCAAGCTCACCAGCTGCTCCTCGGAAACCCTACACAGGATCGCTATGATTGGGAACCAACTCAACAGCACTTAACAACAACAACAAGCTTCACTATATTCATAGGTGTATTTACAGCCAACATAAATACCCATGTACACAAATCCTCTATCAAACTCTTATATATTTATGTGTATATGTTCACTCTCCCTCCAGTACCCTTTCAGTCTGTGTATCTCTCTATATGTCTACCCACACAATACGGATGTTGCAGGGTTGTGTACACAACAGTATTTACCTCTAACTGCTTTAACCCTTGCATTCTTCCCTGTATCTTCGCCTGTCTTCTTCATTCTGCTTCCAACCTCCCTCTTCTTGTATACTGCGTTCCCCCCATCATCCAAGTTAACATGTGAGTCCTGGTGTGGCGATGTAAGATAAGCACTTGAATGCAAGACGTTTTGAACTGCAAAGTCAGCAGTTCAAGCTCATCAGTGGCTCCTCCGAAACCCTATACAGAGTCTCTATGAGTCAGAAGCAACTACACAGCCATTAACAACAACTCTCAAGTCAGTGAATTACTTTCCCTTCCTTTCCACCCCTGGTAACCATCACAGAATGTTTCTTCTTTTAGCATGAAAACCTTTGCTTAACTTTCTAAAACAGTACTATCATACAATATTTGTGCTTTTGTGATTGACTAATTTCACTCTGTCCTCCAGGTCCATCCACATTATGAGGTGTTTGGCAGATTCATCATTACTCTTCAACACTGCAAAGTAATGCATTGTGTGCATGTACCACAGTTCATTTATCCATTTTTCCATTGATGAGAATTTCAGTTACCTCCATTCATTTTGTTATTCTGAACAGTGCTGTGATGAACACAGGTGTGCAGATAACTACTGCCGTCATGACTTACTCCTTGGGGATGTATACCAAGTAAAGGGATTGCTAGGTCACACAGTATTGCTATTTTCAACTTTTTAAGGATACACCAGACCGCTTTCCACCATGGATGTACCTTTTTACAGTCCCATCAGCAATGCAGGAGGGTCCCAGTCTCTCTGCAACCTCACCAGCATTTGCAGTTTTCTAATTTTTCTAACTTTGTTATTAATGCTGGTGTGAGATTGTTTCTCATTGTTTTGATTTTCAGATGGAATAAAAATTGAAATCTTTCAAGAAAGTGAGGCGGCACAGGAGGCACTCACTCATCTATGCCAAGAAATTTGGAAAACAGTTATCTGGCTGACTGACTGGAAGAGATCCGTATTTGTGCCCATTCCAAAGAGAGGTGACACAATGGAATGAGGAAATCATCAGACAATCTCTTTGATATCCCATGCAAGTAAAGCTTTACTAAAGGTAATATAGAAATGGCTGTGAGCATACATTGACAGAGAACTTGCAGAGGTTCAAGCCAGACTCAGAAGAGGCCGTGGAACAAGGGGTATCATTGCTGATGTCCGATGGACCTTGGCTGAAAGCAGAGAATATCAAAAAGATGTTTATCTGTGCTTTCGATTGTGTGGATCATGACAAGCTATGGACAACATTGCACAGTATGAGTATTCCAGAACACTTAATTGTGCTCATGAGGAATCTGTACCTGGGCCAAAAGGCAGTTGTTCGAAAAGAACATGGGAACACTGAATGGTTTAAAATTTAGACAGGTGTGTACAGAGTTGTATTCTTTCACCATACTTATTCAACCTGTATGCTGAGCAAATCAACATGTATGCTGAGCAAATAATGCGAGAAGCTGGGTTATATGAAGAAAAATGTGGCATCAGGATTGGATGAAGACTCATTAACAACCTGCGATATGCAGCAACCTTGCTTGCTGAAAGTGAAGAGGACTTAAAACATTTACTGATTAAGATCAAAGACCACAGCCTTCGGTATGGATTACATCTAAATGTAAAGAAAACAAAAATCCTCACCACTGAACCTATAAACAACATTCTTATCAAAGGAGAAAAGACTGAAGTTGTCAAGGACTTCATTCTTCTTGGATCAACTATCAACACTCACAGAAGCAGCAGTCAAGATATCAAACAACGTATTGCATTAGGCAAATCTGCGCAAGACCTTTTTAAAGTGTTGAAGAGCAAAGATGTCAGCTTGAAGACTAAGGTGCACCTGACTCAAGCCATGATATTTTCAATAACCTCATATGCATGGGAAAGCTGGACAGTGAGTGAATAAGGAAGACTGTACAAGAATTGATGCTTTTGAGTTATGGTGTTGGAGGAGAATACTGAAAGTGCCATGGGCAGCCAAAGAACACAGATCTGTGCTGGAAGAAGTGCAGCCACAGTGCTCCTTGGAGGCCAAGATGGCCAAGCTTCATCTCTCATACTTTGGACATATTGTCAGGAGGACCAGTCGCTGGAGAAGGAGAATGGTAAGGTGGAGGGTCAGAGAAAAAGAGGAAGACCCCAGAGAGATGGATTGGCAAAGTGGCAGCATCAATGGACTCAACCGTGGCAACAATTGTGAGGTTGGCCCAGGATCAGGCAGTGTTTCGTTCTGCTGTGCATAAGGTCACTATGAGTCGGTACTGACTTGATGGCACCTAACTACAAT